CTGGCAAGCAAGTTAATTTTGGCTTGGAAATAAGTATGAAAGAAACAAATTATTTAATATCTTTACAACATTTACCGTTTAGTCATTTGTGTCATTCAGACTTATTTCCGAGTCAAAACTGAACTGAAGGTCATCGGACATATGTCCGACCCAAACTCAACATCACCGGACATTTTGTCAGACAGCCCTGTAAAAGATATTTTAAGGCCTGGTAAAATGCAGCTGAAAGGAGGAAAACAATAAATGTTTGTCCTGTTCCATGATATGGAAAATGCATCGATGTGCAATGCACCTGGGTCAGGTTTATAGGAGCAATATTTTGCAAATTGTTTGTTTAATCTGGATGCAAACAAGTCAAGATCTGGTTTGAAACCTAGGTTAGACAATGCATCATGTAAAAGGGATGGCTTTACCATCCATTCTGCATCTGTGTACAAACGACGAGATTCTGCATCAGCTATGACATTAAGGCTGCCTGGGACATGGGCAGCAGTTAACCAAATTTCATTGTTAATACAGAACTCCCAAATTGCAACAACCATATCATTGCCAATTTCGGTATGGCTGGAGCCCATTTTATTAATCATATAAACAGCTGCACTGTTGTCAACCATAATTTTAACATGTTTATGACTAAGTTGGCTCCTAAAGGATTCTAAGGCAAATAGGGCAGCTTTTAATTCTAGAATATTAATATGGGATGTTGCCTCTGTGCATGACCAGTTCCCACCTGTCTTCTGAGAACCGAAGGCTGCACCCCCAACCTTTCAATGACGCATCAGAGTATATAACTTCATCAATTGTAATAGCCTGTGTTATATGACAAAACTGTTGTCAAGGTGGTTGTACCACCATTCCATTTCTCGTATGCCTTTAGCCGAGATACTCATGGATTTATCAAAATTACCCTTACTGACTTTTAGGGCATTTGTCTTATCTCTATCAATATTTCTATAATAAAGTGCACCATAAAGTACAGCTGGCAGACTAGCCACCATGTGACCTATAATTTTTGCCACAGTCCGAATTTTGATTTTTTGTGGTGAAGCCAAAGCTTCCTTCATTGATAAGATCTTTTAATTTTCAATTTTTTCTTTTGTCAGAGTAATAGTCATGGTCTTAGAATTGATGGTAAACCCCAAAAATGTTAAGCTCTGGCTTGGAATGAAAACAGACTTATCAGGGTGTACAACAAAACCGAGATGTTCAAGTAGTTTCATTGTCTGGACAATAGTATGCATGCATTCAGCAAAGGATTTACCCTGCAAATATAAGTCATCAATATAGGCAATAATAATATGGCCACTGATTCTAAGCCAGGCCAATGGTGGTTTTAAAAGTTTTGTAAACTTCCTGGGACAAGTTGATAACCCATTGGGAAAAACTGTGAACTTAAATAGTGTATTCCCATAACAAAATTTTAGAAATTTCTGGTGTTCTTGATCTATTTGCACACTATAGTAAGCATCTTTCAGGTCAATTGAAGCCATCCAGCAGTTCTTTGAAACAAGTTTCAAGACAGTATGGATATTATCCATTTTAAAATGAGCATTTGACACAAATGAATTAAACTTCTTTAAATTTAGGATAAGGCGTATCTTATCATTTGGTTTTGGTACAGAAAAAATTGGTGAAAAAAATTCACCTGGTTCATGTCCACACTGGGCAATGACCCTTTTCTGAATAAGAGATTGTATCTCTTGTTTAACAGAGTTGTCATGATCTTTACTAATCGAATTATGAGGATATGATAATTGGGCAGGTGGTCCATTATGAAATTCTATTTTTGCACCTGATACAGTTTGTAAGATTTCCGGATCGGATGTTAGCTCTGCCCATTGTTTGTAATGCAGGGAGATTTGTCCTGCCTGAGAAGAATTTGCTTTAGCCTGAAGAGATGGAATTAGTTTATTTTGTACATAAGAAGGAAATCGATCTACCTCTATACTCTCTAGTTCTTCTGAAATTTCTTCTTGTACTGGTTCGGGTTCTGGTATGGAGCTGGCCTCCGGGGAGGATATGGTTTCCTCCCCCGCTGGGATAAAAAACGTGGCTGGCTATGGCTTTGTGTATTACCACTGTTATATTGCGAGTAAGAAACGTTATTGCTTTGGAAACGGTTACCATTGTTGTTATGGAAACGGTTGTTAGGTGTTGTGACACTTTGCATGACTTTACTGGTATTTTTAATTTTCTGTGCTGTGGCAGCTAAATCAGTGCCAAACAGAAGGCTTTCAACCTTGTTATCTCTAGAGCAAGCTTGTTTAAAATCATTGTGAAGAAATGGTCTTATCGACTCTCTGCGTTTAAAGGATAGCTCCTTAGAAACATGCCCAATAAGAGCAGTGGCATCTATCAATTTTGAAGCAACCATTTTTAGGTCAGCTTGTTCGTGCATTTCATGACTTTGCATGATATCATTTAAGGAGCTCGTTATCGCAGAAACACTGGTCTGTAATGTATCTTGCAGGTTGGCAAGTTTAATATCTTTTTTCCTGGTATGCCCTGGTATTTTTGACCATATTTCTGGGTTTACCCGTGGCACATATAGTTGCTCACAATTTTGAGGTCTTTGGTGTTTTTGAAGAATATTTTTCAATTTCCCAGGCTCTAGTTCTACAATAAAATTTTTGTCTGTAATTTGGGCGAGTTTTTCATTTATTGCTGGACCTTTGTCGGCAGTTTCGAAAAGATCTTGCGAAATCGCATTCAATAGATCATCCTCGTTACCTGAGCCGGAATTGTCGACTTCGCCCTCGCCGCCATCATAATCATATTCGGCTTCAAAGGCGAAAAGACTTAAAGCATTGTCATTTATGACATTTTGTGTGTTTACATCGTCGTGGTCATTGCCACTACTTCGTTGCCCTGACTTTGGGGGCGTTTTGCCCTCTTTGTGGCAGATTCATTCCTGTCTTCGTCGGGTTCAATTTCAAGGGCCCTCTTTGGGGCTTGTTGAGAACACGAGGCCGAATTGCCTTCTATCGATTTAACTAGTCTCAAAATGAGCTCATTGGTCTTTTCAATGCCGTTTTGCATCGAAGACACCATCGATGCCATATATTTTTCATGTGTTGTTGCTATATGAACAGGCTCGGAGGCCTCAACACTTTGTATTTCATCAAGCGGTACGGTCTCATTGACCGACATGTTTACGGATTTTCGCTCAGGTAATTCCTAAAGAATAGAAACACAAAACAACAAAATACTGTAATACTCAGCTGAATTGTTGACCAAAGGGGGTATATGCGGCGTTTAGATCACGTTCCCTCTTCGGATGATTAAAAACCAGAACGGATTCGTGTTTAATGTAAATTTTTGGCTAGAACAAAGATTTACAAGTCTAGTCTCCGCGGGAAGCAAGGCACAATTGGTTCTCCGTGAGATGTCGGCGCTATCTCGTGTCAATTCCGTACAACTCTGTAACGACCGTAGGCTGATGACGTAGTAGAATTATATGCTGTCTTGTTTAGTTGTTTCATATACGCAAAGGCCGTCGGGTTTTAAAGCAATCATAAAATCGGTATTTAACTCATTAACGCCCAATGCGCCCGTATGCGCCCTGAAATTGACAAGTGGGTAACGGACAATGCGCCCGAATGCGCCCTGGCATGCGCCTCTTTGTGGCAGATTCATTCCTGTCTTCGTCGGGTTCAATTTCAAGGGCCCTCTTTGGGGCTTGTTGAGAACACGAGGCCGAATTGCCTTCTATCGATTTAACTAGTCTCAAAATGAGCTCATTGGTCTTTTCAATGCCGTTTTGCATCGAAGACACCATCGATGCCATATATTTTTCATGTGTTGTTGCTATATGAACAGGCTCGGAGGCCTCAACACTTTGTATTTCATCAAGCGGTACGGTCTCATTGACCGACATGTTTACGGATTTTCGCTCAGGTAATTCCTAAAGAATAGAAACACAAAACAACAAAATACTGTAATACTCAGCTGAATTGTTGACCAAAGGGGGTATATGCGGCGTTTAGATCACGTTCCCTCTTCGGATGATTAAAAACCAGAACGGATTCGTGTTTAATGTAAATTTTTGGCTAGAACAAAGATTTACAAGTCTAGTCTCCGCGGGAAGCAAGGCACAATTGGTTCTCCGTGAGATGT